TTGAGTCATTGTCCCCTTGTCGCTTCCTGTCCTTTCAGCGATGGAGGAGCTGGATGGAGACGAGGTGAGAGTATCCTCCAGAGGACGTCTTGCTGAGAGAGACATTGTTCAGGTACTCGCCATGATTCTATTTAAATTGGCAGGTTAGGCTTTGGCATCAGCATGAGGGGGGGGACATGCACCCAGAGGAAGATGGCGGGCGCGTAGAACGCACACTCAAACACACACTGCAGAGCTTCATGTGAGGGGAAACTGATCAGACCAACATCAAGGTCCCGCTCCTTCAACGCTAATAATCTGCTTCTGATTCCAGAGCCGGTGCCCCACTTCGAGCCACTTGGCCCACAACTGCGTGCATATATAACAGCAGCATTGTGACCGAACACAGATATACCTATAGGATCTATTTTTAGGATCTAATTCATTAAAGTGTCCAAAGTTGATTTGAACTGAAAGAAAAATCTCATTGTATTGTATTGTATCTCATTGTATTTTGTATTTTAGCAGAAGGAACATTTTTCATCGGTATTAGCACAAAAAACTGAGGATCTGTACATCAAAGCTGCTACCTTTCATTTGCAAAATGCTCAGTTATGTGGCTTTATGGCTCATTTAACATATTTTTCGATTAGCTGTTATTTTAGATATCAAAACACATATTTAAGTTTTCCTTAAAGCGATCTTTTGTGCAGGTTCCCACACAGACATGCTCCTCTGCACAGATGTAGCCCATTTAGAACATCACTTATTATTATTCTGTGATTTTTAAGATAGCGAGGCTCATTTTCACAGCATATGTTGATTAATTTGATTATTCTGAGATCTCAGATTTATTCCATGTTAACATGAAAAAACAAACTCTGCTATGTCGTCTTTTATCGCTCATTATTGTTTTGCGAGTTGAAGACAATGCACACACTGAAGTCAAGTTGTGCACTTGTAATTATGTTTGATTTGCTTTGAGAAATGTGAGATTAGGATGAAGATGGGATTAAGCCTACTCCTATAATTATAAGTGATGTGGCTCCAATCCAAATTATCAAAAGGGATTTTATTTTTACCTTATAATAGGAATAATTTGGGCATCTTCTGAACTGTTCCCCATACAGACAGCAAGGGAGAAATAAGCTTTCATCATCTAATTGGATGCCATTTAAAAAGCATCACTGAAATAACACTGTCTCACTTCCTCTTTGGGTTCAGGCCACAATTAATATGACACATAATGACTTTTTATGTGATGCTTTTGATGCTCCCCTGTGGACTCTTTGGTCTATTTCTTCACTATTTTCATGACTCGCTTATGCTTTGCACCTTCCCTTTTGCTTTGATGGATAGAAATGATGAAATCTACTGGAAACAAAAAAAACTCAGATCTGTTTTAACTCAAAAGCTTCAAAGTAGACCAACTCATGATCTCACATAAGAACTTAGTTCATTTTTGTTTAATTAACAATCAGCGCGTTGCTGCTTTTGTTGTTGGTGTTTCTCAGCTTTTTACACTCCCTTGACTTTGTAATAATTTAGAAATACACACAAAATTGTGAATGATCTTGGTCATCTTATCATTATTAAAAAAAATCTACATTTAAGGAAACCGCTTGTTTACACCAGTAATTAAAAAGCTGTAATTCTTTTAGCAAAATAGTGAACTGATAATGTCACACAAGCTATTTTTAACCATTTTCCCCCTAAATTGTTTTAATTTCAACCACTTTTCCATTAGTTCGTACAATAACCGACAAGTTTTTCTGCAATATGTTCGAAGACTCGAAAGCCCATTTAAAGCCAAACAAAAATCAGAAACAGGTTTTTCTTCCATTAAAAGAAATTTATGAAAGGGATAAATATAAAAAAGGAATGAACTCTGTGCATCTTCCTGGAAAGACACCAAATAGTTCATCTCTTAAAAGAAAAGAAAAACCCATTTAGCAGCTTTGAGAGTTTTATAGCAGAGCGATAAAACCACGTCTGGCGGTAGTCATTGTAGAGAGCCTTTTAGAGATACGGGAACACTAATAGGAAGCAAATACAATGGCCGCTGATAAGAAAGTACTACTGGGTATTTGGATAGGAGTGAGGACGGGCCTGTCGGCCGGCAGAGGGGACGGTATGATGATAAACGAGCACTTACCATGACAAATGTATGGTGTTCAGATAGCAGGAAGAGGGATGGTGGGGCTAAACGTCCTAAAGCGTCACATTATCAAAGGCTTGTTTATCGTTCCTCTCATGTCAGAGTTTGTGGCCCTAACTGGAGGCAATTCCTTCTAATATTAAAGGTTTTCTAAACCATCATTTTAAGCCAGTTGTGTTGGTGGGAATGGAACCGCCCCCACTTGAGTAATGCACACAAACAGGAGAGTCGGTCTTTGTTATCATCATGTGCGTTGACTCTCTTCCTCTAACAGTGGTAATCATCGGAAAGCCTTTAAATCCTGAGGAAATTATTCATACGGGCAGGAAGAGGAAAAGTATTCTGGACGCACATGGCGGGGTTTTTGTCCCCGACTCAGTCTTGAGGTGGATTAAAGGCTACAAAGCTCTCATGTGGACAGTCGGCACTTTGAGTTATGTTGGCAGAAAAAGTCATCTTCGATATCTTTAGAGTAGTAATCCCACTCCGGGTGATTTGATAGTGGGGTGATTTGGCATTTTGACTTCCAGCCACTTTCAGACGTCTCTCCACATCTGGGGAAACCGCTGGTACCGGGACGGCCGACTGCATCCTGCTGCTCCATAAAGGCCAACGCCACACTGAATAATGGAAGGAGCACCTGCTCTGCCTCCTTAAGAGCTCTGTGCTCACCGTTCTGAATCCTCAGCTTCAGTTTCCGTCTGATACCTCTTTCAGAAACTCTTCTCAGATCTTAGAACGAGCCGCTAGCGACTCGATTGACGTGACAAAAGTTGTTATTTGTTTCCGGATGAGGGGGAAATTTGCCATAAGGACATCAGAAAGTGGGATCAGATGTAGCATCTGTTAATATTTTCTCATTAAATCTCCGTTGTCATCGTCTCCGCAGGACGTTTAACATGAATTGTTCAATTTTTCAAAAGTTTTTCTCGCCAAAAATTCTTGCATCCATAAAAAATACCCTTTTTCAACAATAGAAAATCTAATTTTGAATATCAGCCTGAACTCTAAATGTGCCTGTCTGATCTCCCTGTGAGACTCGTCTCACACATATTATATTATCAGATTCAGATTTATAACCTGATTGAAATGGTTGGAGCTGCCATGATTTCTGTTATGTATATATTTTTTCTCTTTTTTAGGAAGGGAAAACTGAATAATCCCCCAATATCTTCAATCAGTGAATAAGCTCCCTTTCTTTTATTAGAAGAAAGAAAGAACTGATGATCATATTAAACTCTTTCGATCTGACGAGAGTGTGATGAGAAGGAATGATGATCATTATTTAGCATAAACCAGCGGTGATCAGAGTGGTTCTGATTCACTGTAAGAATGGACGGAGGTGTCCCTTATCCCGACGGCCGTTGTTAATTAGGGCGATACCAGCTTTGAAAGCCTCCCCATGATCGCGCCTCTCCTTTTAAAATGTCATGAGCAGAGTAGGAGCTGCACGTCTTAAAACGCCACCGGCGCCGCGCCGCTTCATCTCAAACACAACGGAAAAGAACATGTCTGGAGCCATTTTCCAAAGGCTCAACCACTGTGTTCAGCTCCTGAGGGGTCAGGGGTCATTAACGTGTTGGGGGGGAGGCAAAAAAAGCACCAAAATTGCTGAATCATATGCGAACGTGTGCACAAACCTGTTCCCGGTCTGATCCCCCCACCGCTTCCGTGTCCAGTTTGTTCCCTTCAGGGACTACATCGACCGATCCGGGAACCAGGTCCTCAGCATGGCGCGGCTGGCTAAGGACGTCCTGGCCGAGATCCCCGACCAGCTGCTGTCGTTCATGAAGAGCCGGGGGGTGGAGCCGCGGCCGGCCCTGTCCTCCTCCCCGCTGCCCGAGCTGCTCCGCCACATCTGAGCCTCGGCCCCCCCCCCCCCCCCCCACCCTCCATCCACCCACCCGCTCGGCCTCCATCTCCACCTCCTCTGCTCATCCTCAATCCGCTTCCTCACCACCAATTGTCACTCTGTAGGAACGAAAGACGGGACCGGCCACTCGCCCACCCCCCCCGTATCATCCCATAGAGTCGGCCCTGACCCCCCCTCTGCTGTAACTCCCCTTTTTTCCTGTTGCCGTTAATACTTTTCAATTGCAGTACAAAAGGGCAGCCGGAGCCAGAGCCTCCCCCATGCTGACATTTGATCATTTAGAGATGACCATTTGAGTTGGCCTGCTAATTCCACAACCCGCCCCAAATGCGTTTTGCACTAAAGGTTTTCACAATTATCTTCCGCCGCCGTTGACATTAGTCGCATTTGTCCTATTAGCTGCATGATGGGATGTTTAATTGAAAATGAAGTCGTCATGAAGCCACCGGTGAGCGGTGTTTGGCTACTGGTCACCTCACTAGGGTTCTCTTCTCTCTTTAAACGGCCCAAATCTCACTTTCTTTCCGGATCGTGTGTTATCAGTTACAGACCGAGACACACACACGCACACACACACACACTCACACACACACCTCTGTCTGCGGCGCCACACCCACCCTCACTTTGCCCAGCGTGGGCCCGGGCGGGGTGCAGACCCCCCCCCCCCCCCCCGCTGCTAGAGAAATGCCAGTCTCTCCAGCTGCCCTGCAGAGACGAGGAGGGAGGAAGGAAGGAAAAGAGCCAGGGGGAGGAGAGGAGGGGGAGGTAGGAGGGGGAGGAGAGGAGAAAGAGACTGGAGAAACAAGACAGGGATGCTCAAGGACGCAGTGGGTGGGGGGTTTAGGGGGGTGGGGGGGCATCAAGAGATTTGTTTTGTTTGATGCCAGAAGGGGAAGGAGAGAAGGGAAGGAGATAAAGGGAAGGAGAGAAGGGAAGGAGCAGGAAAAGGAAGGCTCAGCGTTGTTTTTGGTTCACTTTCAGAAGTTTTCGTATGCATATTTTTGGAAGGAAATTCATCTCGATAAGGGAACAAATGCACATTCTGTGAAAAGCAATACACCCGACTCCCCCCGCGTGACGTTGGCCCTATGCATGTTCCTTCCTCTCCCCCTGCCATTACTTGACATTTTATTTCCAGGCAGAGCGGAGCCGCGCGCGCGTGCAAAAAGTGGGCCGACTCCGCCACCTAGTGCTCCACCTGTGTACAGCAGGGTATCTTTAATATGCATGACAGCTGGTTTTTTTCCCTGTTTTCAGACAACGCGCGTGCATGACCTCATGCACTGACCCACAGCCAACAAAAAAAAACAAACAAAAAACGTCAAACTGTGTCATGTGGTGGTTTAGAAGGGTCTTTTATGTGCCGTGTGAGTATATTGACTTTTTTCTAAACACGTGTCATCGTTCTTTCTGCATGTCGGGGAATAAATATGTCAGTTTTCAAGTAATTGTTGCCCCCACCCCCTTTAAAAAAAAAAAAAAAAGAGATAGAAATATATCTCAGTAATATGCATTCTTTTCCCCCTTCTGTCGCTGTATATTTTGATGTAATAATGGATTTCAGAATCAAAGCTGTCTTGCAGAATCCTGTGAAACAACATGTATTTTTGATATTCGAAAGGCTCCAAAAGCTGGAATGTAAGGTTTCTGCAAAACACTGACAGGTTCTGCTGTGATCTCTGTCCGTCTTTTGATCCATTTTTTTGGAGGGGGGGGGGGGGGGGGTCAGCTGAGCAAGGTTTCATTGTATATATGTTAAAGTATGTGCTAAAACTTTAGATTAGAGCAGCGGCAGCCTTTTACATCTGTGTTTCCTATATTGTACGTTGAGGTTTTTAAGGATGTCCAATAAGCAGGATGTAGAACTTAGAAAATCTTAACTGTTTTGACGAAATATCTTGCCGTGTTTTGATATGATGTTGGAAAATGTTTGCGTGTGCTCCTGAACTTCGATGAACTGCAGTGCAATATTCCCCGTAAAGCGACACAATCTGATTTATTGTATGTAGTGGTGATTTATTTCCGACGCTGCACAGCATGCTCCAGATGAGTTCCAGCTTCAAATGGTTGATTCATCAAACAGATTAAAGAGCTTAAACACATAATGGTGACATGTTTGCCTCATAACTGGCTCATAAATTGCCTTGTGTCTGTTCACGTCCTGCTGGTTTACAAACAGAAGAGTTAACGCCAGGTTTGCTAAAGGAGTTAGTAAAGAACCTCATTCTTTTCACTTTTATTCATGGATTTTTTTTCTCTCTACGTCTGAGAAACCAGCTGTGGTGACTCCATTTTAAAGAAGAATTGTTCCTGGATGCCGTTTTGCTTCTTTGAAGGAGGCCGTTGTACTTAAAAACCTTCATCCTCAAAAAGCAGACATTGAATCAGCATGAACATCAGCTCAAAAATGTAGGATTTACACTTCTGTTGCATCAAAAAGATGTCTGCCCACCAATAGCAGAGGAGATCCTGTGGCTGCGTTATTAGCATTAGCATCTGTGTGTTTTCCTGTTGGCACAAACCTCTATTGTTAAATATTCATTTCAGGTATTAGTGCGCAACCCTATTAGTTTCTATGAAGTCATATTTCCAACAACAAAAAGACACAAAAAGGCAACAGACACATGCTAATGCACAACAGCGCAACCGCAGTGATGCCAAACTAAAACACAAAACCGGCCACAATGAGGCCGGCCGAGCACCAAGTCACAACATAACACGAAAATAATCCCCCTGGGAGTCACATGGCATGGATCCCGCAAGTGTTTTTTTTCTGCTGTGGACGGGATCAGCCGTGCACAGATGGATAGGCCCCAGTCGGCAAGCCTCAGAGGGTTCATGTTTAAACCTGCCACAAGCCAGAGGTAGAAACACTTTAATTAATTAAAGAAAAGTTTTTGTCCGTTAAACTGACAAAAACAAAGCCTCTGATCGTTTTGGAAAATGTTTTCGCCTTCAGCCACAGATTTCTCAAAAGATGGAGGTATAAAAGAGGTCATATTTTTACAGTATATTAATTGATAAGTAATAAATAAAAACATTCTTTATATTTTGAGAAAAAATGCAAATAAATCACTTCTCAGGTGATTTGGTTGGGTGCTGTCCTTAAATAGTGCATCATTTATCCGATTTTTGTTTACATGCACCTGGTTTGATTCGGTAATTCCTAATCTTTGAGATGTTATCAGTAAAAGTTAAAGAACTTTGTGAAGTTAATTGTGCAGATGTTGCACAATCTACTGGTGCACACACACTTGTTTTAAAAAAATAACCACCTGGAGTAGCTGTGAGATCTCAGTGTCATGTCTCAGCTCTAAAACTTAGAATAGTTTCAAGAATAAGGAAGTCTTTTCAGAGATACTCTGCACTCCACATACGTTCAGTGGTATTTAGTGATTTTGACTTTTCTTTTCCTTTTCTAAAGGGCAGAATTAGCTATAACAGTGCAATTTTGTTGGTAAGTACCCAGTTCTGTCTCCTAAAAAGAGCTGTTTCACTAACACCACACTCATTACGAGCGCCACTGATAACTAGTGGGCATCACTTTCATCCAGTCAGGGGCTGGCGTAAAACATCAAAACTAGAAAAACAAAAGAGATGAAAAGTCTCCTTGTACTGCCATCCAAACCAACCTAAATGTTCCTCTTCCCAGTGACATTCTCAAGTTCCTCCTGTGGAATTCCTGGGTTTTTCCAGACCAGGGCAAAAGCATAATCCCTCTACCTTTTCCCACTTTGATGCCCAAACTACCACAGACGACTTCTTGAGACCAGTTGTGAGGGCTGGAATAAAGATGGACCACCAGATGGACTCGTCTCAGTTTTGTCCTTAAGCAAACGGACCCCTCCAACACCCATAAAACTGCCCAAAGAAGCCCCAATCTGCCTGTCTGTCTCACCTATGAACATGTGTTGTAACTGGAGAATAAATGACTTAATAAGGGAATTTTACAAAGACTTCAATTCAAAGTAATACAGTAAGAACTAACATTAAGGACATAGAGGTGCAGAAATGGGACTGAAATGAGAAGGGCCTCCTCCTGAATTCATTAAAAGATTAGGTGTGCTTTTATAAATTCATGTCTTTTTAAAGTACATGAGAAATGTTGTTGTGTCCTTGTTTGATATGGGATGATCACACCTTAACTTTCTTTATTGAACCGAATGTTTTTATTAGTTAAGATGCCGCTGAATGTGGATAGATTTCCCCAATATGGATAGGCTCCTGGCTTCCACTACTCTCTGTGTTATTTTATCAACTTTTTCAGTGAAATCTGAGTTTGGATGAGATGGATGATGGACAGCTGCTGCTGTCTGTGGCCTCTGCTCATGTGGAGGTAGGTGATCCGATCCACCAGTAGATGTTACCTTAATGAAATCAAACCGATGAAATAAATGTTCCAACTGAGGGCTTTTGAACACCCGTGAACACTCCTCCTGACGACACACCTGGATGCTGCGTTGGCAAAGAGAAGCTAGTGCTGAAATGTGCTGGTACAGCCAATTACACATAACGCAGAGCAGTAGCTCTGCATGGATGTAAACAAGCTACTTAAGGAGCTGTTTTGAAGCAGGAATCAAGGAATGGGAGGAGGATGGGCTATTCAGGGAGGCGGTGGGCAGCTCGGGCTGTTTAAACTGAGAACACGACATCAGAAAACTGATAGCTTTTCACATGGAGCGCCTTCTCCCAAAATATGATTTCATTTTCAATTAGCCTCCAGCACCTCACTCGGCTGCAGCTCTGGACAACAACAAGGAGATCCTGATGTCATCACAATGTTCCTTCTTTTCCCTTTTCTAAACATCATTTTTTATTACCGTGTGGAAAGAAACAAGGAACAACATCTGGCAAAAAGGTGTGTTTTTTAAAGGGACTCGAACAAACCTGGTTTTGTGGGACTTTGGGTAATAGGTCAGGGAGGCTTAGCTCAGGGAAACTTTGGGCAAATATAAATGAGGCCTTCAAACCGGAGGAAAAAAAAGCAAG